TTTTGTTTACCTCTAAGAACTTCATCCAATACTTTATTGACTTCTTCATCAGTTTCTTCTTCAAGATCATTATTATCCATAGCAGCGTCCATTGTTTCATTCATCATTTCACCCATAATACCCATCTAAACAAAACCTAAAATAGAAATTTAAAGAATAATGAAGTTCTTTACTTTAATTAATTCTTTTGAAAATTGTTCAGATATTGATTGAAATTGTTCAACTTTCATTAATTCTGCTAATGAATGTGCTATTTCACTACTTGTTTGCATAATACCAGTTAGTTTTACATTTGCTACAAAATATTCAAAATTTTTCTATTTTAAGATTTTGTTAATAAATTACTTAATTGATTTTTAACAGCATTATCGATTGTATCAAGATTAGCTTTAGCGGAATATAAATGACTTTTATCATGTTTTATTCTAAATAAAAACATGATTAGTTTCTTTCATTTTATATATTAAAAATATAAAAGAATTTGCATTTACTTAACAATTGCTTTTGCTAATGTTCGAAGTGCATCTTTATTATTATTCAATGCATGTTTTCGAATATCAGTTGAAAGACGTTGAATTTCTCGATCAGATTCTTTGAATATAAAATTTGTTTTAATATGAAATAAAGAAATATATTACGATTAATCTGTCGATCTAATTGTCGTTTTTCTTGTCGAATTTGTGTACTTATAGCTCGTGACTTAAAAATAGAAATATTAACAAAATAAATTCCATTAATTCAAACCTGTTCTTTTGCTATTTCATGAGGGGTTCGTTTATCTTTTTTAAAGAAACTCATGATAATGATGATTAAATGATATCACCTACAGCAGTATCTGGTTAGTGTTTTAAAACCAATGAATGCTTATAAAATGACGTCGATGGTAACGCTTTATTATCTTATCTAGTAAAAATATGTTTGTTTTCTCTCTCTCTTTCGTTATTTATTTTAGTTTTCGATTAGTCAGATGATTATTTATCTTATTACAGACAACTGAATCATCGATAATTTTTAGTTTTAATTAAAGTAATTAATATTTAAAAATAAATCAATAATATACATGTAGATCTATATATTGTCAAGTAAAGATTTTATGGTGGTCTCTAAAATTTTGAGATCGCGATGCGATTTAAAAAAAATCACTACACTAAGGTCCAAATAGTTATAGATTAGGAGAAAGAGGGAATCTAATTTTATACATAAAATTGGATCTTTCGAGATTGAGCAGATATCATCATTAAATAAAATATGCTATCCGTAAAAAAGTAGAACATAAAGTTTCTATAAATATATTTAAATTCTCTAGATCCTTGAAGACTCTTAACTATTGATAGCCCTGTTTGACTTTTTTAATGAGTATTCAACTTAATATATAAATAATCTTCAGTCTAGTAAAAATAGCCATATACTTCATCAGTATGTATTGTAGCATAACCAGAAAATCGTGGGTGCTTGAGCAAAGACTAGCAGTGTCACTTTTATAAATAATTCTAGATATTAATGTCAGTTAACGAATTAGATTCAACTATTGGTAGTACATTAGTAACACGAGTTACTGATAATACTGATGTACCAATTCGTTCTTTATATTCGAATCAACCTGCAGTATTAATTTTTTTACGTCGTTTTGGTTGTCAATTATGTCGTTCGTATGCATTAAAATTAAGTAATGAATTACATCCAATATTAAAACAAAATAATATTAATTTTATTGGTATTGGTCTTGAAAGATTTGGCTTAGAAGAATTTCAAAAAGAAAATTATTTTTCCGGTGATCTTTATATTGATGAAGGAAAAAAAGCATATCAAACTTTAGGTTTACCTTATCTTGGTTGGTTTAAAGGTATAACAGATTTATTTTTAAGATCAACTAAAGCATGGAATGATGAAACAAAAAAAATGGGTGTTCAAGGAAATTTAAAAGGAGATGGTTTTCAATTAGGTGCAACATATGTTGTTGGACCAAACGATGGTAAAGTTTGGTTAGCCCATCCTCAAAAAGATTAGTATGTGTAAATAACTAAATTTTTTATCAAATGAATTTTTTTGCTTATATTTATTAGTGGTGATCATCCATCAGTCGATGAAATTATCAAAGCTCTTCGAGATAATATACCAGATTTTCATGAATAGATTTTTTATTTCTTTATATTGCTCAATTTTATAAAATAAAATCTGACGTTATTTTTATTCGCTATGAAATTAAAATATAATTTATATCAGATTGAAGAATCACTACAAAATATTTATTTAGTGCATTATCATTATTTATTAGCATAAAATTTCAAGCACTATTTATCTTTTTTCTATATAATTCGATAAAAACACTTCTTCTTGTCATTGATAAAAATATCATTTAATTCTTTTTTTGCAATCTTTCTGAACTCATATCATATTTTTTTATAATTATAATTTAAATTATACGTGTCTTATGATGATAAGTTAAATAAATAGCATGACTATCACTCTCCCATATCCATTATGACTGTTCTATTTCACCACTCAAGCGACATAAATTTTAATGATATATAAACGAATGTATATCGTAGAGCAAGAAGAATATAATTGACAGTGAAAAGAATAGGTCCTTCATCTTTTTATAAGTCAAGGATAAGTATATATGCTTGTGACATGATTTATTATAGGTAACGTATACACACGTTCACATCAGATATGACTATGCCTTACTTATAAATATATAGAGGATTTTATATACTACGCGTCACAATTTTTTTTTTTGAAATTTGATCAAGAACGTGACTATAAATACTTAATCTTATTTGGCTTCAATTGAAACTATAATCTTCTTTTTTTTCAAGACAGATACTTTATACTAGGTAAGAATATCATAAACTAATGCTATTTACTCATATTTTAAAGTCACGTGTCAAAGAATGTGACTAATGCTTTTTTTTCAGAAAAAAAAATGACTAAGTGCTTTTTTTATGATACACATAAGAACATTTATTTATCGACGTGAATGTCTTTCATTTTGTTTTTAACGATTCACGGAATGAAGAAAATCTTAACAAGACAAAGAAAAAAAAAGAAGATAGGTCTATGCTTGGTTGCGATCAATATTTAATCCGTTTTATTACTCCAAACAAGCCAAAGGGCATGAATACAGCCAGGTAAAAATCCAAGAACAGTTAAAAGACTAAAATAAGAGAAGAAAAAAATATTTTAATTAAATATTTAGGAAAAATCGAAACGTACATATTCAAGAAAAAGTGTGTAGTGCATCCAACTTTAAGTAAAGCGGCAATTGGCGGTAAAATAATAGCCAAAATTGTTAATAAACTAAAAAATAGAATATAGTAAGTGATTAAATAGAAAAAAATTATATATTTTTAAGTACATACATATTACCACAAAAACCCATGTTGATTATTTAATTAATATGAAAATTTTGTTATCTGAAAATCGATCAAGATATAAGTGACGTTGTAATAAGAAAAATGAGAGACTATATATAGACATTTAAATGTGTGGTGCGCCAAATGTTTATTTTTCTCTTTTCTTTCTCTTTTTTTTCTATTCTTTAACACATTTGGCATCAGATCAAACCTATGGCCTATACATATATATAGTCAGTCCTAGTCAACATAGTTTCATAGTCGAAGAAAATGCTGACGAACAAATATCACATTCGATAAAAACATCCCTCCACTTATAAATAGAAGTATGTTTTGTTATCAATAATAGTATACTTACACTTTCATCATTTTATCGATGATAGTTTCATTTATTCTAATGAAAACACCGATGAAAATTAATCATTTATTATTGATAACAAAATGTGAGTATGTATAGATGGTAGGTAACAGTCTGTTTTAATAAATAAAATTTACGGATAAATATTCTCAAATGAAACAATAGTCCTATTTTTTTTTTCTTTTTATTATCAGCGATAAAAAGAAAGGCGGGGTACGACGAGGACGTTGTGTGCATTCGTTACGATAATAAAAGTCTTTTCTTCTGCGTAATATCCTTAAGGACTTGACTATTCTTTTTTCTAAAGTTCACATAGTACGCTAGCAATATTTCTTTAAATACATCCTATATATAAAAATATCGAAAATAGTTACCACAAATTGTGCACCATATGGTTGATTCTATCTTTCTCTTTAGAATATGTTTCGTCGCAACATATAAAATAATATGATTGCAATAAAAGATTATTTTTTTTTTCATCTATTTAAACAGACATAATAGATGAATCAACGAAGAACAGATGAATCGGAACGAAAAAAGAAAAATAACAACAAATATTTCTTTGTTCGTAACTAGCAAATGGTCATGTTTGTTTGGTGATAAAGTAAAGTACCTGTATTTGTATAAGACGAAAAGATGAAGTAGTATCATGAGTAATACTAAATAATGTTTTTATTTTTTCATATTTCTAGACGCTATGTGACGTGCCATTATATATATATAAATATATTCATGTTTTTTTTCGAGTGGGTAATTTATACAATATTTTATGATTAAGTAAATTGATACCATTTTTATTTTTCTCCAAATTCCATTACAATTATTAATGTTATTTTTCAATTGGCTATTCGTTGAAAACGCCTAGAACAAAGGAATTGACTCATCGAAGATAAAAAAAGAACGCATTACTAATATTGTTCCTATTCTCTTTATCATGATCATGACTAGAGTCGATTAAAGTTCAAGATTTACATGTTTCACGTATTACATTAATCATTCTATTCTAGATAAAAAACAAAATTCTTTTTAACTAATTCGTATTAATAATCATGGGCGATTTTATCGGCAATATTCTTTTATCAATTTTGGCTATTATTTTGCCACCAGTTGCTGCTATTATCAAAGTATGTAGTTAGATATTTAGTTTAAAGAAAAAAATAAGATTAGATAAATATTTATTTAGGTTGGATGTACAACACATTTTTGGATTAATTTATTATTAACCCTTCTCGGTTGGTTACCTGGTTGTATTCATGCTTTATGGCTTGTTTGGGCTGGTCCAAGCGCTTAATTATGTGTACATCTACAAATCTTATTGACATTTAA